ATTCGCGCTCGTCAATTCTACAGTCAATTTGACTCGCAGTAAGTCGACCAGCACCTAGAACTCGATTATTTTCGTCGCGCATCTTCCTGTAGATCGCCAAATGGAGGGAAAAAAGAGATATTTCAGTACAGAAAATCGCGGAGTTATCTGCTGAGCATAAGCAAATACATGCGGCGCTCCCACGACTCGAAAAACTCCTTGCGAACCTGTCGGCAACCGCCATAGCAGCAGCGACAACAGTAGGAGCAACAGCAGCGGCAACACCGACAATTCTACATGCGACAACGGCAGCAGCTACAGTTAACCTCGAAGCAGTGAAGCTGAGGCTACCGGAGGCGTTCGATCCTACAGTAAAAAGGAACGACGTTCGTCGATTTGTAGCTGAACTCGAAATTTACTTCGAAGCCGTTAGATGCACGACCCCGACAAAAGACGCAATGCGCATACGGCTCGCAGCAACACTGTTACGAGGCCCAGCTCTAGAGTGGATCAACAACAGAATAGTCCAAGGCGAGGGGACGTGGGCGCAGGTTCCGGCAGTACTGATCGAACAGTTCGACACGTTGAATAGTAGCTACTACGGAACACGACGCAACAAGCCAACTAGTGGCATGGGGCGATTGGCACCACCCACGACTGCCGACCCGATGGAGAACGACGAGGGCGATGTGGAGCAGCGGCTAGCAAATAATGAGACGTGCAAATTTTGCGGCGCTACACGACATCGTATCTTGGCGTGTTGGAAAATGAAGAGAAGGTGTGCGGAGCTGAAGGACAAGAACAGTGAGGCATCCCCGAAGCAGAAAACGGATAACGTGGCAACTTCGGAGAGGGCGAAAAAAGGAGAATATGGTGGCGCAAATTTAAAATGTCATGACCAGCCGGCACCAGGGGAAATCGCCGCGACTAATGGAGGATCCGCGAAAAAAGACCCTGCACCGACCGGGAAACTCCAGCCGTATACCCCGACAAGTAAGAATATTACTTCTCGTGGGTTTCAAGCCTTTATTAAGGGAGAGTCAGAAATTAAACCGGTACCGGGTATCATGGGGACCCTACTCCAGAGCGCTAATACGGGTCGAGCGTTCCGAGGAGTTAATATTCTCTCCCAGCAGCACTGTTTAAAGGCTCCCTGTTCCCCACAGATGAAGCCTACACAGCTGCAAAGGCTTAGTGGAAGGTTCCAGGCCCAAGAGAAGCCGAATCGGCCTCGGATAAATCCTTCTAACCTTTCTCAGTTGAAAACTGATACTGAAGCTGCATCTTTGAGCGCAGGACCTAGGGATAACATATTCGACGTACCCTACGATCCTATAAGCGATACCATCTACGGATACTCGGAGCAGCAGCAACCACTAGTACTCGAGGTGATCTGCAACGGGCGTCGCCTCCAGGCCCTGGTGGACAGTGGTGCGTCCCACTCGGTGTGCGACCGCGGGACGTTGGAGAAAATAGGAGAATCCTAAGAAGAAACCCAGTTTACAGCAACGATGGTGGACGGTACGAAGCTTCCCATCCACGGAAAGTCAACACTGCAGCTGCAGATAGGGGCGTTGAGGTGGAAGCCGACGTTGCCGATCACGAACATCAACGGATTAGATTTCATCTTGGGGCAAGATTTTCTGAAGCGGTTCAACCCCAAGATCGACTGGGTCAACCGGAAAACGTGCATCTACAACAACGGGAAACGAGTGGAGCTGCGAAGCTTGACGGATACATGGAGCGTTCCTGAAACGACACTGGCACGGTTCGAACGGACAGTGAACGAGAGTAACACGGGTTACTTAGCACTGGTTATAGCAGCAGCAGAGGAGGAGGTCTTGGAGCGGTACAAGGATATAATGCCCGACAACCTACCCACAGGCGTATCTCCAGCACGCACCCACGAGCACGAGATCGTGGAGGAACCAGGTGCGAAACCCGTCTCACGTGCACCATACCGACTGAGTCCAACTGAACTGACAGACATGAAAAACAGATAGAGTATCTACTAGACAGACAACTGATCCGCCCATCCACCTCTCCCTACAGTGCACCAGTTCTCTTCACTCCAAAGCCAGACGGTAGTTTACGGATGTGCATCGACTACCGCGCACTGAACAAACGGACATCACTGACTACAGCGCCAGTACTCATCTTACCGGATCCAGACAAGGACTACGTGGTGGAAGCAGACGCTAGTGACCAAGCAGTCGGAGCAGTACTGATGCAGGATCACGGACGCGGTTTGCAGCCCATCGCCTACCTCAGTAAGAAGCTATTACAGTGGAAGAAGGACTTAGCTGTAAGGAAGGGTTCAGGAAAGATTTGGGTACCGAATTACGCCCCGCTACGGCAGATCCTATTGGAGGAGTTTCACGACGTACCTTACGCGGGACATTTCGGGAGCAACAAGACGTTAGCAGGGATAGCGAAGTATTACTACTGGCCCGGGATGGCAGCAGACGTGCAGCAGTTCGTCACCTCTTGCGACACGTGCCAGCGGATGAAGAGTAGCAAGCAGAAAAAAGCAGGGTTACTTCAGCCTCTACCCGTACCGGAGCAGCCATGGCAGGTCGTTAGCCTCGACTTCATCAAAGGACTTCCTTCGACCTCACGGGGACATGATTCCATCCTCGTGGTGATCGATAAGTTCTCCAAAATGGGTCACTTCATACCGACCAACGCCACAGCTACACCTGAAGCAACTGCTCGACTCTTCTTCGACCGCATCATCACCATCCACGGCATCCCCGCTACACTCATTTCAGACAGAGACCCCAAATTCACGAGTAAGTTCTGGAAGGAGCTCATGGGACTGTTGGGGACAAAGCTTGCAATGTCTTCAGCATACCACCCCCAGACTGACGGACAGACAGAGCGACTCAATCAAGTGGTTGAACATTTACTGCGCACAGCTTGCAAGGACGACGTCAGCCACTAGGACACACAGTTACCGACCCTAGAGTTTGCTTACAACAACGCATCACATGCGGCCACATGAAAAACTCCTTTCTTCCTGTGTTACAGACGGGAACCACTCACACCACAGCAGCCAACTACACCGGCACACGTCCAAGCCGCACATGACTTCGTCACCACCATGCAGCAGCTATGGGAGAAGACTCAGCGACGTCTCACCACGATGCAGAACTCCCAGAAGCAGTATGCCGATCGTCAGCGACGTGATCACTCAGTAGCAGTCGGAGATCAGGTGCTTCTTGACACGCGCAACTTGAACCTGTCTCACCTCCCATCCAAACTCCGGCCTCGCTTCTGTGGTCCTTTTCTCGTTGAGGCACAGGTGACACCAGTAACATTCCGCTTGCGCTTACCAGATACATGGAAGCTTCACAACGCTTTCAATGTCCAGCTACTGAAGCCCTACAAGGACCCCAACCAACAGTTCCAGGGATGGCAACTACCGCCACCACCACCTGTTCTCATACAGGATGAACCCGAGTACGAGATCGAGCGCGTTCTCACCCATCGGCGCCGCGGTGGCAAGACCCTCGAGTTCCTGATACGCTGGAAGGGATACGACCCCACTGAGGACAGTTGGGTTGCAGAAGCTGATATGGGCAACGCACGCCGTGCTCTCAAGAACTATCTTGTCAAGCAAGGTGTATCTCACGCCACCCAGCTTTGAGGGGGGGACGTGTGAGAGTACGACGGCTTATGCCAGCTATGCTTGCTTGCCTCTACTTTATCATGCTATTTCTAGCATAGGATAATCATATGCATGCATGAATTGCTTGATTTCCTAGGCTAGGTGCTTTCCTATATTTTATTATAGTTATAGCACCGAGCTAGGTTGCGTGCACCGAATTCTGGCTTTTCGGTTGCCACCGAATTGCCTTCTACCGAATTCGGTAAGGATCTGTTCGGGACGCTTCGCGACCCGCGGAACCTTCGCGTAACACCTGGTTACGGGGCCTTGTGTCGAGCCTATATATAGCCTCGTGTTGTACCCAGGTGATCATTCAATTCAATTTGAATAATCTTTTTTGAGCTCGATCCCAGATCCTCACAGCCTCGTTGTGTTCTCAGACGTTATAATCACTTATGCATTATTGAGTTTCTGCGCACTCTTCCTTTCACAACCCATAACACCTGTTGCTAAGTCAAACTTTTTTTTTGCGCGGCGAATGCAACTACAAAGTTAGGAAAGATCCATTTTATAGTTTTTTTTGGCACTTGCCTTTTCCGCGATGTAGTAAAGGAGAGACTCCCTTGGTAGAGATGTAAAGGAGAGACGCATGACGCTCGGGCGTATTGAGAATCGCTGATGCCTACGTGAGAAGATATTTTCATCCCGCTGATACGCATACAGCACCTAATAGCCCCCTATACACATCGACTCGTGATATCGCTGTCGCGCTGGCAAACACGTAGTGAATATTTCAAGGGTGATCACATCGGCGAGCTCGTCATACACTACGCGCAATGTCCTCCATGTACAGCGCGGTCCAACCGTTGCGTTGTGCTTCTTGTTGCTCGTATGTGCGCGAATCAGACAACGACTCTAAGCATGCCGCTTCTCTGCTGAATTGCAGGCCACGTCAGTTTCAAGTCAAGGTTTTGGAACTGCATAGCATCTGTAACTGACAAACCAACTACCCGGTCACTATTCCGCGCGACATATGGAACCCTCCGCGACTCGCGCAGCCAAATGCGGCGCATTATTAGTCCGCCCGCACACCTGGTTCCGTCCTGCATTTCGCATTGTACATCATCCTCTACTTGCCTGTGTTATCTCGAACATCAATTACCCCAAACGACTTCTCCCATTCATAACACGGTCGCACATAATGAGTATCACAAGTCCTAACTACACCCGTCCTCTTCAACGCTCAATCACACACATGCAACCCCTTTACCCCACATATCCCAACTTCCAACACCGCACAAATAGCCGTACAAGATTCCATCTACGCATCTCTTCAGCTGTCCCTTCAACCGTTCACCACCAACATCCTCTATTGACGGTCTACTCATCACCAAGTGACGCCGAAAGGTCGTCATCCCCTACGATGCCTAGCAGCTCGGTGGCGGCCGCGGGCTTCATGTGCTCCAGGCCGCACGCAGAGATGCGCAGGCCATGGCGCCCCCAAATCCACGCTTCGCGCTCCGCCGTCATACTCGGGGTTGCCGATACGGATCGCCCTCTCCACGGCCTCCTTGACCAGGACCTTGAGCTCATCCACCACGTGGGCGTTCCCGCCCGCCGAGTTGGAGAGCCGGCCTTTCCGCGCCTCCCAGTAGAGGACGCAGTCGGAGACCTACGCCCAACACAAAAAGCGTCAGTCCATGCATTTTTAGTAGGATGCATACCCCTTCAACCCTCGCGCACACACACTCACCACATGCTCCAACCAGGCTAGGTGGTACACCTTAAGGGTCATCACCAGCCCTGCCTTCTTCGGCTTGAAGGCAGCCTTCGCACATGTCGCGAACGCCCGGGAGGCAAACGGCATGCCATCCCTGTCGTGCGCCCACCTGGTCAGCACTAGAGTTTCTGCACACCACATCCGAAGCGTGGGTATCAATGTCCACAATTCTCGCATTGGTGCATGACTACAAACGGTCGACGACTCCAACGGTCGTCTCATGCACTCACCAGGGGGGTCAGCGCCAAGCCCAATGCGCTCCCTTATCTTGTCGATACTACACTCCTTTTCAGGTGCCCACGGGCTGGATGCGTCCCAGGCCGAGCTTGGGAAGTGCAATGTCTCGCACGCGAGCGGCAGCCCTTGTCTTCCACTCCGACAGTGTCTTGTTGAGATCCGCCCGTCGCGACTTGTCAGCCGCCAACGCCAAACAGGCGAAGCTGTGAGGCAAGCGGTCTAGCACCGTGCACACTCCGTGAGTCTTATCGTCGCTGCTCAGGTAGAAGGTCATCGACGACATGGGCCTGTTGAGAAACAAGTGAACTCTGGCCAGCTCGCACACCCGCTGCGCATCCATAGTATACACCATCACCAACATCAGCATTCACCATGTACCATCAACGTGTACAGACTGCAACCCATTCCGGACGGGAAGTTACTCAACCAAGATGGAAACATGCCCGCTCACCTTCCACGTGTTGTCTGTCGGCAGATGCGCCAACGCGCGTTGCAGAATAGGAGACTTTGCAGTACGCATATGACGACCACCAGAACCATGCGTATCTTCCTCGTCCTCCTCTCCGTCATCGTCCGACCCGCCGCTCCATGTCTCGCCACGCTTACGCTTCAGGTTCATGCACCCCTGCTCCGGGTCTCTTTGCTTCCGAGCCTTATGCTTACGAGATCCACCAGAACGCTCCGCCATTGCATTCAAAAACAACACCTCCAACCGCGCGTTCTCCTTGGCGCTCCTGTCCTGAGCCCGGATGAGTTGCTCTAGAACCCGGCTCGAGATGCGCACGTCATGGCCGTCGGTGTCCACTGGGGTCCCGCATGCGCGGTCCACATGCCCGTCCACATGTCCTCGGCCTTCGCCCCGATACACATCCGTCTCCCCCGCGCCCCGACTTTCACGCCCGTCTGCTTTGGGTGAAGCGGTTCTCGCACACCCATTGTCGGCCGTCTTCCCTCCAGTGGCAGGTTCGCCGGATTCTTCGGGTGAGGCTGAGGCCGATGTGTCTGATTCTGCCTCGCCATCCTCTTCATTGCGCTCGGACGATGAAGCACTCTCTACACCAGTGCCGTCATCTGCGATGCCACAGAGGCTCCAGACAAGCACGGTACCACATGTCAGCTATACTTGTTGGGCACTGGGGTTCATACGTATATACAATGCAAACACCCGCATGAGTACAACGAGTCACTCATCCACGCTCTTTCTGCATACCTTGCTCATGCTGTACCACCTCGTCTCCCTTCTTGGTCACGCTCAGACGCTTATGCAGTGTCGGCCCGCATTTCCCGTTAGACAGCCGACCGCGCGGCAATGTCAGCTGATACGACGCTCGCAGGTACGCCTGCGGGTTAGATACACGACGGGCGCGCCCTACTGTCAGAGTATCCTCTGAAGCAAGCGAAGTATCCATTGTAGCAACAATAGTATCCAGTGATGTAGTTACAGAATGACGCGCGGTTCTATACTTATACATATACCTCAACTTCTTACCACACCTTAGCCCATCATGGGCAGTGAGTTAGGTGGGCAATACGACTTCGTGTCTATTTGGATGACCGCAATCCGAAACGGCTAATACATGCACACCACGTCATCCACCGCCATGTACATGTGTGCACAAATAAACCACACACCGCGCACATCATGGCGACACAACCGTATCGTTGGAACTCGTTTGTGCGTACATCTTGTCTCACAAAAGTATTCACTCTGAACGTTGTTGACGTACATCCTTTCATTATACATCTCACCAATTGCTCGTTGCACTACCACACAATGTACCGAACATTTGAGCACCATAGTGTAAGCAATAGCCTTCGCACCCATCAATTACGAATACCAGCAGAAAATCTAACGCCCTGCACACCTCCCACAGATTTTCTCGAAAACGATACTGCACAATTGCATTCATGTGTACGTCTATGCATCTACACCAACTACGCAGGATGTTCTGCCAACATCTCATGTGCAGCAGACTCTTCCACACCCTCCTCGGCTTCGTTGTGCCGAGCACACCCGCTGCTACCATTGTGCACAGGGGCCGTTCCCCCACTCTCAGCATTGTCAGGATCGTCTGGTTTGTTGGCCGCCTTGTTTCTATCCACCACCCTCTGCCTCTTTGACGTGCGCGTGGCAACCACTCGCTTCCTCCCTCGTTTCACCTTCCAGTTCACGCCCTCCCGCACCTCCCGCCAGCTCCGCCACCTCCACCACTTCGGCGCTTCCACCAGGAGCTGCATATCTTCCTTGGTGCATCCACGCAGCATCGCCTTCTCTGCGGCTGACAGACTGACCGTGTTGGGTATCTTGTCTCGTGGCCTCAGGACGAACGCACCTGCGGCGTACGCATACGCCGCCTCCTCCTCCAATGTGTATGCACCCAGCCGCTGTTGCCTACGCTTTCCTCCTTCTTTGATCAGGATCTTCACACCGAACTTGCCTGATGCTTTCTCCAACTTCACTCCTGTGTACTTCGTTGCACACGTGTCGTCACCATCCTCTTCGTCCTCCGTGTATGACACGAGATCCTCCTCTTCTTCTGCCTTCACCGTCTCGTGGCCGCTCGTATCTCCCCACGCATCAGCTCCAACCGGCACCATCACCCCGAGCAGCGGTCTCCCGCGGGTGAACATCCAGTGAGGTATGGTCCCTCCCGACAGCTGCGGGTTTTGCAGCAAGCGCGCTGTCAGATCACATGCAACGAACGAGGAGGCCAGCGCAACACGGGTGGCATTGCGTATGACATCCTCCTCTGAACTGCTGTCAACAAGCCTCTTGCGCCCGGATGGACGCTGTGGAGTGTGTGGGGCATTCTTGGTGCCACCTGCCTCTGCTTTCGCGCCGGATCTTACGGGGTTGCCTTGCATCAGTAGTTGGGTTGCAGCGGACACCACCTCCTCGCGCCTCAATCCCACAAAATTGGATATGACGGTGAAGCTCGCGTCCAGGAACATCACATCGTTCTTCATAGTCGCAATTTCCCTCATCATCGCCCTAACCCGTGCGTCATCCCCGGCTTGACTGACCGGTGCTTGCCTCACATCTTCGATACCACCGTTCCTCTCCCGCACTACTGCCCCCCCCCCCCCCCCCCCCCCTGTTACCCGGCCTACGTCCTGCGGGGGAATTTCGATCCCCAGCGCTTCCAACTGCTGAATGAGATCTCCGGTCGCGTGTGCGTACAAGTCGCGCGGCATCTCCCGCCGGTATTGGTGCGGCGTCACTCCCTGAAACCAGAGCCCGCTCAATAACGTGGTGAAGTCGGACATCACCAGGGTCTTCAGGTACTGGCAAACAAAAATCCCACAGTCCTGCTTGTTCGGTTGCTGTGGCAGCTTATCCTCCTGCACTTCGACAAACGCACACTACAGTTAGCAATCTGTCTACCCTCATAAACATTGTGCACACAGGTATGCGCATTCACTGGTACCCTCACCCGTAATATTATGCACTCCGCATCCAATAGGAGCTTGTCAACAAGCTCCATGTTCGCGTCGGGGTCGCTCGCCTTCGCGAGTTCGGACAGCACTCTGCACGTTACAGGCCGAAATCGTTAAAACAAGTTATGCATCAGCTGCCAGCGACATGCAACGTCGACAGTGAACCCCGTACTCACAGCTTGGTGCCTGCAAAAATCATGCGAGTGTTCCTTGTCTTTATGCTACTGTCCAGCAAGACCAACTTTATTCGCTCTTTGCCTTTGGATTTCGCGGACTTGGTAAGCACCGATGGAGATATAGCGATGACGAGCGAGTAGTGCTCCCTACGCTCAACATGAGAGGGTTAGGGTTAGTCAACCATCGGTGTCATGCTAAAGAATCCACTCACGAACCGAATACTTGTAATACGTACCCCTCTAGCACAGGGATCGCGAGATAGTCGTGCTGCAGTAGCGGAAGCCCGTTCCCCAGCGTCAAAGGCGCACCACACGAGTTCGTCTGGAAGTACGCCTTGCAGTCCAAGGCAGCCCATGTTTTCCTGTCACGGAGAGTCGGCTTCCGGATGCTAAGCAGCCTGCACAGCAAATGAACAAGAAATAACAAAGCGTATTAGATGTTGCCCATAGATCAGATACTACGCCACAAAGCATCAACCAGGTGACCTCAGTGAAGATACTTACACGTTGTGAAAGTCTAGCACACCATCAGTGATCCACTGATCATCCTCGATCGACATGAGGTCGTCCTTATCCACCTCGCACCCGACGCCGCGGTGATTTATAAGCGTCATGTTTCTGTACGAAGACTTCATGTAATTCCGTGCGACGAGGGACACCAAATCTTCCTGCACCTCCTCCCGCACCGTATCCTCCTTAGTCGTAGCAAACTTCATGGCCCTTCCGGAGGCCTTAGTTGGCGGGATCGGCCCTGGATTCTTCATGTTAGACTCTGCATTTTTCGACGACCTGGTTCTGCACGTCGGCGGGGCAGGATCTTGGTCGTCGGAGCCGCTGCTAGTTTCGGGTTCATAGAACCTGTTGCGCTTAGATGTCAACTGCTTGGGTTTCGCCATCTCTATCTATCAACGATTAGAATACAAACTATCCTGGCTTATGAAAACGCGAGGAGGTAGGGTTGGCAGGAGGAACACATTTACGGGGAGCGCAAGCGTTGAGGATACTATGGAAAATGAAGGAGATAGAAAGGCGTAACCCTTAAGGATCATGCACATCTTGTGTGACCGTCGTGTAGAGCTACATAGATCTACACCGTTGGCGCAAGCGTGCATGCGATGGCCAGGTGTGATGCGACCACTCAAGAGGATGTGATGGTTCAGCGCCATGCAGATCCACGTGTGCTAATCCTAGGGTTTCGGATGCTGTGGTCGGAGGTTGAAGCCAGGTTACCAAGTAGATGCATGCAAGCGAATGCACGGTAGTTCGAATTTTTTGATGAGAAGGCCGTATGACACGAAGTATGGTAACGATGTACGCCGTATGGTGAACATACGTGTATGTGTCTCTTCGCGCGCCGAGTCCAGGATTTTGCAATCGATGCGTACATGGTTATTAAACTTGTATAACAATAACACGCGATTGCAATGTGTTATGTTACGTCAGTTCAAGGTGGTCAGAGTTTGGAAAAAATGGTGTTACCCTACATGACAAATAATCAAATATATGCAATGGTTGTTGGTGGTTACGGAGCCAGTTTATGATATTTTTATCATCTCGATAAACAAGTTACAATCATTGGTGGGGCGGTTTGACAAATGTACATCCAGATTCACGTACAACACATCCACACATAATATAATTGTACCTTTCACTTCAACAAGTACGGCTATGTTCTGTGCGCACACCACAAAGGTTCCCGCACATGCATGTGCTCGAACCAGACCAACTCTGTTCTACAAGAGTGCACCAGATGGGCTGGGCAGGGTTTTCACAGCAGCTATTCCTAGGGTTTCACGGCTGTAGGATGGCGGGGAACAGTTGCCTGGTGTGCAAGACGGTGTTTAAGGACGAAAGCAGGTTACACTCCCATGTAGTGAATGGGGCTGTTTGTCGCGAGGAGTTGAAGAGGAAACGTGAACAACTTTTGTGGGCTGCATATTTGGAAGCCGTTGCGTGCGAAGGAGAGGGTAGAGCAAATACCCCACCGGCATCCAGGCTTAAAAAAAACGATAGCAGCTTTCTCTCCGTACCTCCAACGGTGTCGATACCCGAAGTTAGTGTGGTTGGCGACGCGGATACACCATCCGACGGCGCTAACGCCGAATCTACAGAAGGCAGCGATAGGACGAAGATTTTTGATACACTTACAGAGTTGTACCTGTTTTTCCGCGACGCCGATCTGTCGCACCGGGAAATTAACCGTCTGATACTCATTTTCCGCAACCCTCGCTTCAACCTCAGGGCTCTCCGACGATGGCGCAACTGGGTGGATGTGCGCCGCTGGGGCATGGCGCGAGCTCCACCCTACATGGTCCCGTGGAAAACGGAGGAGATAGTGGTGAGGGGTCCCAAAGGACTGCAAATGAAGATGCTACTGCACTTCCGCGACACCGAGTTGGTACGTGATGGGAGGCCAACCTGGAGGCGATGTCTAGGTGACGCGTAGATGAATTTGGCACTCATCATGTTCTCACTCATGTTTTTGCGCAACGTACACAGATCTTGAAAAAGTTGGTGCGGACGTTCTCATCCAAAAAGGGGTTCGTATGGAAGCCGAGGAAGATATATCGGAAGAAGAATAACGAGAGGGTATTTGAAGGACCGGAGACAGGTGATTGGATGTACTCTGCTCAGGTACGCACATGTTAGTTGTTCAGTTGTCATATGTCATGCTTACTGGTACCTGGACGAGGTGTCACAACGCTCACCGGCCCGTGCGCTCTACATGGCAGAAGGAGATTAACGACGACCAGGCACTCGTACTAGGCGTGCTGATATACAGCGATAGCACGCAGGCATCACGAAATGGACGAAGGAACGCGTGGCCTGTGCTGATATCACTTGTCAACATACCCGAAGAATTGCAAGGAGTGGAGCCCGGGCACACATTGGCGGCGGTGCTTCCATTCCCGCCTGAATGGGCGTCGCCCACGGAGAAGACGCGCGTGTTCCAGCAGGCGCTAAAGATAATACTCGCGCCCATCATGCGAGAGTCCGCCAGGTACTGGGAGGGGATGGGGGTGGGTATGATAACGATACACGGGTGGGGAAGGGGGGCCACCCCAGTTAGTAGCCACCCTTTTGGGAGATATGCATACGATCCATCACTAAGTGAACACTATGTGTGCATGGCGGCCCTATGTAGCGCGCCAGTACGCTTCTTCTACTGCACAGACGCAGACGGGAAGGTGCACAAGGCGGTCCCTTGCCTGTACGGATACCCTGCCGACTTCTCGGAATCCAGCAGAGCCTCCGCAACTCTGCAGCAAGGATCGCATCGGCCATGCGCTAACTGCTATGCTGTGAAGGGGGGGTTGACTATGATGGTGGGGAAGTGTGATCCACGGACCCCAGATCAGCAGAGGGACATTGTTCGTCAAATCTTGGCGTGCAAGAAGAAGGGCGAGGCAGACGATGTGCGGAAGTTATGGTCAACCCATCCGATCGAGGTGTGTTTGCTGGTGCGCGGTTTGGTGGTGCGTAATGAAGGGGCGCTGGATATCATGTGGACTGTTTGACAACACTGTGTCGTCTGTGGGATGGTTGCAGTGCGTGCTTCAAAGGTGGAATTTCGCAGACACAGAGTGGGGAAACGTGTACCTGGCATGCCTAGCAGACACACTGCACGTGCTGGACTCCGGTGTGCTGATCCACATGATGGACTCCTACATCGAACCCCTTGGAAAGGTTGAGATGCGGCTGCTAGAAAGGTGAGTTAGGTGTAGTTGGGTGTGAGAGCGGTAGCCAACTATGTTCTGCAGGGATTTTTGAGCGGTCTAGGCCCCCATGTGTGTCAAGCGGACAACGACTTCGTACTATGTGTGTGCGCAGCCGCAAGAAGGAGTTCAAGCGTTTCACTCCAAGCGTTCTCCTCCGTATCCCTGGGGGATCATCGTTCTTCAGTTCAGGCGCAAATTACGCGGCGTTCGAGCACAAGAGCATGATGCAGATAATGCCGCTACTCGTGGCAGACGAGAGTGCATTGAAGGATGGACCGGAGGGAGAGCTGCGTGCTTTGCAGGTCAAGGCGTTCCGGTTGTATGCTGTGTTCTACAAGGCGTTTCTGGGGGTTGACAGACACACACACACGACAATTGCGATAACGAGGCAGCATGCGATAGCGTGAGTATTTGTATACCCCACGCCGTTGGGTCAACAAGATTTATGGGAGGCTATGCCTCCAGATTGGACAGCTATTTTGAGGTCGCCAAATACGGTGATGCATCAGTATTGTGCCTTGACGGGGGTGCCGGTGCAGGTTGGTGGCTTTGCTACCGAAGGCATTCCCATCGCAGGCATCCCACTGGAAGCTCCCAAAGATACACATGATAAGACATTTGCTGGACAATGTGAAGGAGCGTGGGATGCCGCACCACTATTCAACCGAAATGTGGGAGCGCACGCACAAGGGCACGGTGAAGGGTCCAGTAAGAGGGAGCAGTTGGAGCGACATACCTCGACGAATCGTGGAGGAGGAGGTGAAGCGCGAGGTGTACCGCGAGGTGGCGGCGGACGCTGGGGGTGGGCGACAGTACGCGCGTGCCTTGCGTGAGGTGTGTTAGGGGGTCTTGCCGACGATGATGCCCAGTGTTGGTAGTACAGAGTACACCGTACACCGGTGTGGTGGCGTGATTCAAACACCGTTTGATTCGTTGTGCGAATGCGTGTGGTACGTGCAGGCAATCTTGACGAAGAAACCGGTGCTCACGAAGAAGTATCGGACAATGCGGATTGGCGGAGCGGCGGATCCAGTGTACAATGAGTACATAACCGCGGTGGGAGAGGATATGAAGGGTTTGGCAAACGAGTTTAAGGCGTTGGGTCTGGCTACCAACAGCGTGCAGGTGAAGTGATTACAAACTGGCGGACATGTGACGTTTGTAGTCTTACATGATGGTACTCACCGCACTCATGATGTGCACGTGTTGTTGGTTTGGTAGGGATGGGGTGACAAGTCCACACGGCGGTGGCCATTCCGCGCACAAGAGGCGGCGAGCTGGTGGCCAAAGGGACATTTGTGAAGGCGTCGCCCCGAGAGAGGTGGTATTCGGACGTTGCACTGCTCAATGACAAGGGTGGGGACTGGTACGCAAAATGTCTGTGCATTTTCAGGGCGGTTGACCGTGATGGGGATTGGAAGGGGTACGCATATGTGAGGTACTATGAGAAGGCTAGGAGCTGCAGCCTCACGAGATGTACGCAGCAGCACAAGACAGTGGAGGATGTGAGGTTCTCGGTGGTGGAGCTGAAAAGCCTGCAGAGAGTGGTGCACGTGTGCCCTTCGTACAGCAACAAAAAGGTGCAGCTAGTAAATAGGTTTCTACTATGCGAGTGACGCAATGCGTTTACAGAGAGTGGTTGCATCTCGGAATTTTAAACCATAAATTACTGCGTAATGCGTTCTTTATGTGTAGAGGCACGATTGGATGGAAGTTGTGTTATCCAGCGGTGATGATATTGTACACTCGTAGTAAGAAAGAGAGACGTTCAATCAGGTAGAGGTGTGCAGTATGGTGGTTAAATTATGAATCGTATAACGCATACGGGTACCCTTATTCCTTGCGCGGTCGGGGTTGCACAACCACAATATGTGGTGGTACACACTCGGTGTCTCAGGCAGTTGGTTGTTTGGATATGGGTGACGCGTACGTGGCATTGTGGGGGCGGGATGTCCTATGTGGGCGTTACAGGTGGTCGTATCAAAGGAGAGCGTTGTCTCTTTGCGGGGCAGGGAATGTGGTCGGTTGGTTGTGTGGCCAATTTCAACTGCTGTACACAGTGTGCGTGCAGGGGCAAGCCGGGGGTACGCCAAGGTGATATGAAACGTATGTAGGAGGAGGTCGTGTGCCCTTCAATGCATACTTGCATACCAAAGTGACAGTGTGTTACAATGGGTGACCTGAAGGCCCTGCTTGCTACCGCACATCCGAATGACGTGATCTGCTTCCACGAGATTAATTTTCTTCCCCGCCGGCTGCCAAAGTCCTACATTCCGGATAAGCGCAATGTGGTGGAGCGTATCGTCGGCGTCGGCATCCTCTACAACGCCACTGGGAGTTGTTCCGTAGTGCCTCTTGTGGTGCTAGAGCCATCCAATAGGCCTCTGCGCATGCGGGCGAGCGCCGCATCGCGCAAGGTGGCTGTTAGGTATATGAACCGCGGGAGGTTAACGCAGGAGGTAATGGATTGTGGACTTTGTGTGCAGTTTTATGGTTGGACGTGCATAGAACGTGTGAGTACATCAGGAGCGCGTCCATCTCCGATGTCAGTGCGTACCGCAATGTCCGTTTATGACGTGCTCGGTATGTTTGATTCACTGCACACAGGTATTCACGGAGTTTGTGGAGACCGTCAACGGTGTGCACTTCAGCCGTGATTGCAACACCATCATCCTCACCATTCACAATGCGCATTGCATCACAGGCGAGGTGGCGCCAGCCGTCTCGGAGCACGGCTTCAGTGTGCAGCACCTCACGAACACCAGAGTCGTCAACATTCGTGGATCGGTTCCGGAGACGGGCCTGCCGCACCTGCAGGGAGTGGGTGATGCGCTGAAGGCGTATTACCGCGTTATGCTGATGAGGCGTGCGATAGGTTCCAAGCGGTTCCAGTTCGACTATTCGGCTTCCATTGCTGATGTCGACTATAACGACATACTCGAGTGGCTGGGAGAAGCGTGGACTCGTGTTTGCGCGGCTACCATGCAGCGGAGCTGGTGGCGCGCAGGATGCGTGCCGGCAAGCTTGCCGCCCCTGATGGCGTACCTGGGTGACACGTGCGCAACCGGCATGTTCGAGCCTATTATTTCGGTATGCGTCGGTTTGCAGTTGCTCATCGAGAAGTTCAAGGTAAGGCCTGCGTGCTACATGACGGCCTCGGATTTTATCAACTGCGACGCGGGAATATGCGTGGAACAGGGGTTCAGAGCCACACCTGATGCCAGCGCGTCCGATGACTCGTCGAGCGACATGAGCCTGTCAGACGGCCCATTGCTGCGGGACGAGCGCAGCAGGAGGCGCGTGATACGCAACATCACAAACGCGTACGTGGAGCGTGCCGATGAGCTCGGCATCCCCCCGGCGGCTGTGCCAGCAGAGGTCGGAGCATCAAACCAGGAGGTGATTTCCCGCCTATGCAGTACGCCTATCAAGAGGGCTCGCGCAGGGGGGCGAGCTGAGAACGGGACAGCCGAAGAAGTGCTGCAGAGTGATGAAGTGCTGGAGAGTGATGACGACCAGTGATGCGTCTGGCAGTAGTGGGGTTTGGTTGTAGGAGTTGATTGTGTGCGGTATCGTACGGAGGGGGTACGCATTGCTTATGTTGGTGTAGTGGTTGTAATTGTGTGTGCAGTATTATTTTGAGTTGATGGAGCCGTTTTGGATAATGTGGATATGAGCACCCTAACAGAGGACTTACATGTTGTATTTTGACGGAAACACCAGTTACAGCATACTTATGTCGCGGATTTTGGTTCCAATGACATGGGAGCCGCGTTTGCGACTCGAGATGTAGGTGTGCGCTTCGAGTCTTGTACATGTTCGTTGAAAAGTTAACGCCAAGTCACTTTTGTGTCTACGATGAAGTTGTGCGTTTCTGATGTGCAAAAAATTGCGATTCGGGTGCGGTGTTTTTATGAAGCTTTCCGCAACTTTCTCGCAAGGCCAACGCAGAAAAACCTTCGGGGGCCAAAAATCACAGCTTTCCTTTTTCGCGATGTTGGCTTTAATCGTATCACCGCGATGCTTTGGAGCCCTGACCAGGAGGACCCTGTGCAGATGAACATTTCCAACTACACCTGTTTGGTGTGCTCTAGTAACCACCGGGTTGCTGATCACGCCTGTTTCGCGCTCACCCGCCGTGCGCAGCTTCGTAATCGCCACACCATCTCAGTCGCACAACTCCATATTGTAAGTGGTATCCCCAACATCGCGAAAAATGGAAGTTCAAAAAGTCACTCAGAATATACTCTGCCGCAACTTCCTCGATAACTTCTGCCAGGCACTTTCAAGTCAAGGTTTTAGAACTGCATAGCATCTGTAACTGACAATCCAACTACCCAGTCACTATTCCGCTGCATTCTGTACCCATGCGTGTATCAAATCGGATACTACACCTGCTACGTTGTCGTTGCAAAACCGTTGCAATGAACACCACATGAAAGCTTACCAAACCTAACCTTTCCAACCGACGAGAAAGTTGCAACTACGCAACCCCAACTGCCATCCGTACTCGACAACACACGTGGCATCCAGTATCAACCCAATGGTCCACGTAAGCGTTCACCCATCAAAACGTACCCTCACCCCATCCGTTAGATTTACCGTTTGTTTACGCAATCTACATGGTTCACGTGTCGCCCTGTCAGCTACTCGCACATCATGTTACTCCTTTGGGAGCACCACCTCGCGACTACTCGCTGACACATTGCACTCGCATCTTCTCCGTCCATCTCCTCATCAATCAGCCCGTAAATACGTGACGCTTGGAACCAGCCCACCGGTGCTCACGTCGCAACTCTCGTGTACGAGACCCACTAGCTTTTTAACACTTGGCATCCATCGGAGGGCGCATCATGCCTTTCCTCCCTATCCAACATTGCACCCTCGCCATACAAATGTCGCACCGCCACATTCTCGTTTACTTCGCCATATTTCTCGGCACCCAATGGTTTTGCTCACGATACACGTTTGCGACTCCATTCTCACCGTCCATTTGCACACATAGTCTGCAAATCCCAGCTGCCACGTTGTTCTCACAGCCGCGATCTACCCCGTTCACTTGCCTTCGGATCGTCCACTCGCACATCTAGTAACCATCCATCCATCTCCTCGCCATAAGCCTTCAAATATGCGTGGAACAGGGGTTCAGAGCCACACCTGATGCCAGCGCGTCCGATGACTCGTCGGGCGACATGAGCTTGCCAGACGGCCCATTGCTGCGGAACGAGCGCAGCAGGAGGCGCGTGATACGCAACGTCACAAACGCGTACGTGGAGCGTGCCGATGAGCTCGGCATCCCCCCGGCGACTGTGCCAGCAGAGGTCAGAGCATCGAACCAGGAGGTGATGTCCCGCCTATGCAGGACGCCTGTCAAGAGGGCTCGCGCAGGGGGCCGAGCTGAGAACGGGACAGCCGAAGAAGTGCTGCAGAGTGATGAAGTGCTGGAGAGTGATGACGACCAGTGATGCGTCTGGCAGTAGTGGGGTTTGGTTGTAGGAGTTGATTGTGTGCGGTATCGTACGGAGGGGGTACGCATTGCTTACGTTGGTGTAGTGGTTGTAATTGTGTGTGCAGTATTATTTTGAGTTGATGGAGCCGTTTTGGATAATGTGGATATGAGCACCCTAACAGAGGACTTACATGTTGTATTTTGACGGAAACACCAGTTACAGCATACTTATGTCGCGGATTTTGGTTCCAATGACATGGGAGCCGCGTTTGCGACTCGAGATGTAGGTGTGCGCTTCGAGTCTTGTACATGTTCGTTGAAAAGTTAACGCCAAGTCACTTTTGTGTCTACGATGAAGTTGTGCGTTTCTGATGTGCAAAAAATTGCGATTCGGGTGCGGTGTTTTTATGAAGCTTTCCGCAACTTTCTCGCAAGGCCAACGCAGAAAAACCTTCGGGGGCCAAAAATCACAGCTTTCCTTTTTCGCGATGTTGGCTTTAATCGTATCACCGCGATGCTTTGGAGCCCTGACCAGGAGGACCCTGTGCAGATGAACATTTCCAACTACACCTGTTTGGTGTGCTCTAGTAACCACCGGGTTGCTGATCACGCCTGTTTCGCGCTCACCCGCCGTGCGCAGCTTCGTAATCGCCACACCATCTCAGTCGCACAGCTCCATATTGTAAGTGGTATCCCCAACATCGCGAAAAATGGAAGTTCAAAAAGTCACTCAGAATATACTCTGCCGCAACTTCCTCGATAACTTCTGCCAGGCACTTTCAAGTCAAGGTTTTAGAACTGCATAGCATCTGTAACTGACAATCCAACTACCCAGTCACTATTCCGCTGCATTCTGTACCCATGCGTGTATCAAATCGGATACTACACCTGCTACGTTGTCGTTGCAAAACCGTTGCAATGAACACCACATGAAAGCTTACCAAACCTAACCTTTCCAACCGACGAGAAAGTTGCAACTACGCAACCCCAACTGCCATCCGTACTCGACAACACACGTGGCATCCAGTATCAACCCAATGGTCCACGTAAGCGTTCACCCATCAAAACGTACCCTCACCCCATCCGTTAGATTTACCGTTTGTTTACGCAATCTACATGGTTCACGTGTCGCCCTGTCAGCTACTCGCACATCATGTTACTCCTTTGGGAGCACCACCTCGCGACTACTCGCTGACACATTGCACTCGCATCTTCTCCGTCCATCTCCTCATCAATCAGCCCGTAAATACGTGACGCTTGGAACCAGCCCACCGGTGCTCACGTCGCAACTCTCGTGTACGAGACCCACTAGCTTTTTAACACTTGGCATCCATCGGAGGGCGCATCATGCCTTTCCTCCCTATCCAACATTGCACCCTCGCCATACAAATGTCGCACCGCCACATTCTCGTTTACTTCGCCATATTTCTCGGCACCCAATGGTTTTGCTCACGATACACGTTTGCGACTCCATTCTCACCGTCCATTTGCACACATAGTCTGCAAATCCCAGCTGCCACGTTGTTCTCACAGCCGCGATCTACCCCGTTCACTTGCCTTCGGATCGTCCACTCGCACATCTAGTAACCATCCATCCATCTCCTCGCCATAAGCCTTCAAATATGCGTGGAACAGGGGTTCAGAGCCACACCTGATGCCAGCGCGTCCGATGACTCGTCGGGCGACATGAGCTTGCCAGACGGCCCATTGCTGCGGAACGAGCGCAGCAGGAGGCGCGTGATACGCAACGTCACAAACGCGTACGTGGAGCGTGCCGATGAGCTCGGCATCCCCCCGGCGACTGTGCCAGCAGAGGTCAGAGCATCGAACCAGGAGGTGATGTCCCGCCTATGCAGGACGCCTGTCAAGAGGGCTCGCGCAGGGGGCCGAGCTGAGAACGGGACAGCCGAAGAAGTGCTGCAGAGTGATGAAGTGCTGGAGAGTGATGACGACCAGTGATGCGTCTGGCAGTAGTGGGGTTTGGTTGTAGGAGTTGATTGTGTGCGGTATCGTACGGAGGGGGTACGCATTGCTTACGTTGGTGTAGTGGTTGTAATTGTGTGTGCAGTATTATTTTGAGTTGATGGAGCCGTTTTGGATAATGTGGATATGAGCACCCTAACAGAGGACTTACATGTTGTATTTTGACGGAAACACCAGTTACAGCATACTTATGTCGCGGATTTTGGTTCCAATGACATGGGAGCCGCGTTTGCGACTCGAGATGTAGGTGTGCGCTTCGAGTCTTGTACATGTTCGTTGAAAAGTTAACGCCAAGTCACTTTTGTGTCTACGATGAAGTTGTGCGTTTCTGATGTGCAAAAAATTGCGATTCGGGTGCGGTGTTTTTATGAAGCTTTCCGCAACTTTCTCGCAAGGCCAACGCAGAAAAACCTTCGGGGGCCAAAAATCACAGCTTTCCTTTTTCGCGATGTTGGCTTTAATCGTATCACCGCGATGCTTTGGAGCCCTGACCAGGAGGACCCTGTGCAGATGAACATTTCCAACTACACCTGTTTGGTGTGCTCTAGTAACCACCGGGTTGCTGATCACGCCTGTTTCGCGCTCACCCGCCGTGCGCAGCTTCGTAATCGCCACACCATCTCAGTCGCACAGCTCCATATTGTAAGTGGTATCCCCAACATCGCGAAAAATGGAAGTTCAAAAAGTCACTCAGAATATACTCTGCCGCAACTTCCTCGATAACTTCTGCCAGGCACTTTCAAGTCAAGGTTTTAGAACTGCATAGCATCTGTAACTGACAATCCAACTACCCAGTCACTATTCCGCTGCATTCTGTACCCATGCGTGTATCAAATCGGATACTACACCTGCTACGTTGTCGTTGCAAAACCGTTGCAATGAACACCACATGAAAGCTTACCAAACCTAACCTTTCCAACCGACGAGAAAGTTGCAACTACGCAACCCCAACTGCCATCCGTACTCGACAACACACGTGGCATCCAGTATCAACCCAATGGTCCACGTAAGCGTTCACCCATCAAAACGTACCCTCACCCCATCCGTTAGATTTACCGTTTGTTTACGCAATCTACATGGTTCACGTGTC